CAGTGAGTTGATAATATTTTGTGTTAGTCAAAGGAAGGTAATAGCATTAAGAATCCACAAGGGGAGATGACAAAGAAGCATTAGAGGAGAAAGAAGGAAATCAGGAAAGAACGATTAAGGACAGATGGCCGTTGGTAACAGGGAAGGATTGCACCTTAATTGTTTTGTGTCACTACTATACTAAGTAGTAAAGAAACTGCTGTTGTGTCAGCAAGCAAAGTGATGCTAGGTGATTCCCCCAGTAGGAAAAGAGTATTCAGAAGAGTGTACATTCCACATTAGCAACCTTCATGGAGAGGAACAGAATTAAATGACAAATGATTACCAGACATGGAGTTCCAATCCTGATCTACTGCTGGTTTTCTGAAATAGGAAATTAAGGTGTTAGATAGAAAAACTACCTGATATTTTATGACATTTGTTTTATTCTCATTAACTGACAGATTAGGAAACACCTACAAGGTTTTAGCAGTTATTAGATTTATGTTTGTTATAGGTATTATTGAAGCATTGTGGACTAGTACTTACAACTACTGTAAAAAACTAGAAAAAGTTTAGGCTATTTATAGAGTACAGGGATACTAAAGTCATAGCTTTGAAATTGACTCCCCATTACATACTTAGTAATGAATAACTTGGGGAGAATAATGACTTCACTTTGTAAATATGCAACTAAATTTTATAAAGATAAGTTTTAAAGAATTCAAAAAGATGTTTTAAAATATTTGTTCAGCAATTAAAATTCTTTAATATTCTCATTAATAAGGTCGATGAATTATGTGATATTGCTGTTCTTTACAGTTAGGATATAACTACTGTGGGAGCAAGTTTCAATAAAAGTCTAATTCATATTTTGTGTGTGTGACACAGATAACATGTGCTTGTTGTAAGTCAACATATGGGAGTATATAAAACAAGGCAAATATTGCCCCCCCACCCCATTCAGTATCACCATTTGTCAGTAATCTTAACTATTTAGTGTGTTTTTTACCACATACAAACGTATTGTACTTTGCATAGCACTGTTCTTTTATTTTTCCTCAAAATACACTATATATATTTATAAATGTATATATAGATAAACTTAACAACCTTGTAGGTGTCTCTTTTAATCCACACTTTTAGGGCACTTGAATAACTCTATAATATTGATGTGTCATAATTTTTGGACCATTGCACTTTTGCTGGACATTCACAGTATTTGCATTTTTTTACAATTATAATATTAAAATGAACTTTTTTACATATATCTTTATATATTGGCCATTTTGTTTCTGATATATTCATAAAAGTAGAATTTGTTAGATTAAAAGGAATACATAAAATTATTATTACTATTACTATTGAATATGTACTACATGAGCATTCTAAGAAAAAAATTTTAAAAAATCAATGTGTTCTATTACATACTGCTTCCTTGTATGCTTAAACAGAAAAGGTTGTAGAATCTGTCATTTAATATACATACCAGCTCAGGGGTTTGGATTATGATCATCATTAGTTAATATCTAATTGATTAGGTACACCAGTGACTATCTTGATATTCAGTATTCAATGAAGCTCTTGATGTATCATGGGCATTGCAGTAAAATGTGTGGCAGGTTCTTATTTACATTGGTCAATCCCACTGTTTAATAGAATTTAATCTGGAAATTGATAGTTTCTGTATAACATATACTACCAGATTTTCAAAGAATATGCACACCATTTAATTTGGAAATTTTCAAATTTTATTGCTCTTCCTGTACAAAATAAGACTTGGAGAGTGAAGATGAAACCAATGATTAACTATTTTGTTGGTAATTTACTAGTCTTACAAGGAATGCTTGAAGAAGTTGGCTAAATAAGACAACAATATGTGCCCTCCCACTCTTCTGCCCCCATCACTGTGTTAGCGACAATAAATCATCTTTATTTTCTCTGATGTAGAGTAGATGTGATGGAGTGGCTACAGTAGCCACTAGAGTAGCGTGGCTGGAGTAGCGTCAAGCACATGATAAGAACTCAGTAAGTACTAGTTGATTGCATATTATTCAAATTTAACCAAGAACTTGAGGCCATGGACTTTTAAATTATTTGATTCCAACATTTAAACAAGAGAGATCTAAGCATTCATTCTAAATAGTATGCATATAAAACAAATGAAATGAAGTAACATATTAGAGGGGTAATCAGATGGAAGTCATGCCATACATATCAAATGCATCACATCACAAGTTTAAGTCCTATTCTACTTCCTAGTTTTAGTCTTTACTGGGCTAGGTTAGCTAGTCTGATCCCAGGAACATCTTTGCATCATGAGATACCATATTACAGGTGCGTAATACAACTCAGTTTACACACAGAAAGAAGAAAAGGAACTATTATGAGACCCAAAGGCACACACATTCAATTGGTTTACATTTAATAAAGGTTATGATGAGATTCTTTAGGAAAAATGAAGACAAGCCTCTGTTGATTTGGAGATATTAAGCTGGAAACAGAAGTATTGACTAATTCCTTAAGGTCCTTTCTACTGTTTTGATTTCAGAAAAAACAAGTCAATTACTTTACAAATTCATTAATTTTTTCCAAATAGAAGTAAATAGAAGGAGGAATAGCTGTCCTCAAAACTATGTAAAACTAATAAAAGACAATTTTCCACTTCTATGCATTTTCTCCCCAGTGCTGATAAGAGTATAGCAAATCTTTCGAAAACCCAATAAAACTTACGAGATGCAAATTAGGTCCTTGTCTTCCATAGTTTGTCTTTCTAAAGGTAGAAAGTTAGAGTATGTTTCCAATTAAAAGCACTGATTAAGCTTATTTAAATATTACCTATATAATTTTAGGGGAAAGGGGCTATCTGTAGCTATGATGTAAATTTGGTTTGACAGAATATATATGCTTTTACATTGGACATAAGGACTAATAATCTTACAAAGAGATATAACTAGTAGAAAAATAAATCTAAGTAAAGTTTTATTAATCTGTTGGAATTATGAAATATATGCTATTGACCCACAAAACAAAACATGCTTTCAAAAACTTCTGAAACAATTTTTGAAATTTATTTCTAAAAGCCACAGAGACAAAACTTTAAAAGCGACACATTTATACTAAGGATACATGCGTGAGCAAAAAAAATAAGAAGGGAATACAAAAATGAACATAGTAAAATTTTAATGAATACAGTATTCTGGATACAAGTAGAATACCACTACATAAGAACTGTATTTACCTCAAAAGTCTATGGTAGTATGGATTGAGATAAACCAGGTTTAGGATAGTCACTTCACTATTCACATTTTAATCAGTGCTGACTAGAAGCCAAAGCAACTTATTTTAGGCTAAGATTTTCAATTAAATTATAGAATGAATCTTCTATTTAATAAACATGTTTTAAGGTGATCTGTACTCATTTAAAGGCAGCTGGGGCAAGTCAAACCACAGAGAGCCCTTACAAAGACTAAGCACCAAATGACAAATTGTTTGTGGCTTTTGTTTGGGGCCACCTTACGTTTTATTTTGTTTAAATGTGTTTTCCATTAACATTTACATACAAATTCTTTCAGGCAAAAGATTTTAACATGGAACTTTCTGCTTAGAGATCTTGCCAACTGTTACTTACAATAGTTTTTAAGCAATGAAGACTTCAGAACAATCCCAAGCTGATACTTAATTGGTTACAACTGTAAGATGCAGAACTTTTTAAGTATAGGTATTTTGGTCCCTGAAATTCAGTAGGGCCAAATGCGTTAACTGGAAGTAACATTTGTTTAAAAAAAAAAAAAAAGAAAAAGAAAAAAAAGTCTTACTCAAAGATGGTAATGAATAAAATAACTATTTAGGCTCCAATACACAATCTTTCTAAATTTCCACCCTGTAAGAAATGATTATAATGTCTTTCAGGCTTGCTATATGCCCCAGAGAATCAAAAGAAACCAACAAGGAATTTAACATTTCAACAAGCTAGGAACTATTTACTGTAAGCATATAGTGAAATTCTGGAAGACATACTATCATACTTTGAGAAAACACTATTAACAGGTAAGCATGTGTTGAAGGCAGTTTATAAATGAAACATTACAAATCTTATGTTTATGCATACAACTTATAAAATAGAAAAAATGTGCTATTTTTCCCAATAGTATAGCATCACACTAACACTATATAGTTAAGATTGAGAGCTCTGTACACACGTCCACACCTCCACAGCAGCATATGCCTCTTAGACATTCTCCATTTGTTACCCAACGTATGCTAACCATGGTTTCACAGATTTGTACCAGTTTGAGCAGGCTAAGACAATCATTCTGCCTTATCTTTTTAACTGTGAAGTCAAGTTAACCAGTTTCAGGGAACGAAAAGTTTCATAATCAGTAAAGAAACACATTAAACCTCCACAACAGGATGGAAAACGCTTCTAAGGACATGATATAATCCTAACAGGAGGACGGATTATGCCCCTAGATATACTGGATATACAAAAAGTTAGGAGCCTGGAGAAATACATTAAGCTATATGGGACCTAAATGATCATCAAATTAGTTATAACTGCTAGAAACTCAAATGTGAATTATTGGTATTTTTCTAGTACGTCATCCGGTTTACTGTTTAGGACTACTCAAAGCCGTTCTGCCACTAAGTGTTTGCTGTTAGTGCAAATTAATGTCCAAACAACAGGGAGCAGTCTGAATCACATGAAAGTCTTGAAAAAATTAGAATGATTGTATATCTAACCTTATCTTTGTATTCTGAAAATAGTGCTATAAAAATCAATTATTTTCCGAGTTTCTTAGATATTGTACCATCTTAGATAATTCGAGTTAAACATGGTTGCCTGCAAATTCTTTACTAGAGGAAGTAAAAGCAAAGTACATTTTGGTTATGTTTTGCCGCTGGTTTCCTCTTGCATGTGCTTAACAAATGAGAGCACTATTCTGGGCATTAATTGTGCTACTTTAACATAACTGAACATGAGAAAAACTGGTAGCTCAAATTTTGACAAGTGTTTTTTTTTTTTTTTTTTTGGTGGCAGACTTATTTAAAAATGAAAACAACAAAAAGCCCACATAAAATCTAAAATAAGATGGACACTTTGACGCCTCATACTAGGAACTTAAGTCCACCAAAAAAACTTAGACATGGAAAGCCGATTCTGAAAAACCTAATACCTAATCTTTTTCTTATTCACTTTGGCTGTTTTTTAATGAAGACTTGTGGTAAAATGACCTCAAAGATAACTCCCTCTAAGTCACATAGGGCATCTTTTGTCAGTGCTTTGTAATAGAAATATACTTTATAAAGACTTTTAAGTTGAATGTTTTTAAAGACTTTAAGACTTTTTTTAAAGCTCTACTCCAAGTTTTCAGCTGTTTAATCTTTTTTAAATATAATTTGGGTATCCAACAAAGAGGACATACCTGGGCTAAGCCACTTTAATAACCTTACAGGATAGTGGAATTCAGATAGAGATCATTTCCTGAACATGGTTGACCTTTAACAGAATTGATTATTTCCTCACCCAAACAGTTATGCAGGATACTGCCAGATCTCCATTACAAAAATCTTGCCAGTACTTTTAGACAATGGTTTACCATCTATGTTTAAAAACCTTATACCACCAGAGGCAAAGCACATAAAACTGAAAGTAAGTAAACTTGTTTCTAGTCTATCTAAATAAACTCTTATAAAATCCTGTGGAAAAATTAATGCATAAAAAGTAATTTCCTTATCATCTGATCTGTCAGCCAAAAAGTAATTACTAATTCTCTGTAAAAACAGGAAACTCAATCATAAAATGTCTACCTGTTTAAATTAAAATGCCAATCTTGAAGTCTTTTAACACCATGACATAAAAAAAAAAGTTTGCAAATTCAAGATGAGGCTTGAAATGAAAGCTATGGTTCGAAAATTTGTGTTTATAGTACAAGACTAAAATCGTGTCACTGCAAAATTCCCGGTGGCTTTTGGCACTGACATTAAAAGATTTTAGTCTTTTGGTCACTTGAAGCTGCTACTAAATACAACAATAAGCCTTTAAAAAAAAAAGGAAAAAAGACAGTGAGGAACTGAAAGATAGTTAACTACATCATATACAAGTAAAGCATAGTCTGAAATAAACAATCATTTTCTGCTAGGAATCTGAAGATGTAAGAATAGTTTCCCACCATTTTGAGGATGGGAAACTTCCTTTTTGAGGATCCTCTAATCAGAAATAATTCCTTTAATTTACTGTGAGTGGTATTGCCTGGCAGCAGCTTCAATTTCCTAGGCTAGTCTTCAATCCAAGTAATTAGGTAATCTCACAAGGAATAATCATACATGGCAATAGGGTAAAAAAGCAGGGCAGTTCTTCCATGCACAAACATTTCAGGAGAAAACCCATCAATTTTAAAGATAACCATCAGGTTTCAGGTATCCTAGCACACTCTAAACCCTAAGTTTTGCTTTACACCATTGGTGACTAAAATTAACAATATGTTTTGCAGTGAGGTTTTTTTTTATGTTTTCTTTTTTTTTGCCTGCAACTATATATACATTGCAAAACTATTCTGCATCACATGATTTAAAATGAAATAAATATAAAAATGAACCACACAATCAACACATAACTTTAATACTCCACATTATTTATCTTGATCACAATGGTGGTAACCTCCTTGTCAACAATCTTGTGAGTTAAGGAGTTGATTCTCATTCTCATATCCATCAGGCAGATATGCTCTCCTCAGTTGGTCTGACTTGGGTATGGAGCCTCCATTCTTCACATGGCGAGACAAGAAAGCACGGACTGCTGGGTGATCAGCCTTCTCAAGTGGGATGTTGGCTTCCAGGCACATTTTCACAAAGTCCTGGATAACACTGACTTTCTCTGTTTGCGCAGTACTGTTGCACTGAAGCGATGCAGTTAGAGGCCTCTGCTTCTTTCTCACATTCTGCTCTTCAAATTCTGCCTTCCTCTTGGTATGAGTCTTTGACTTGAGGTGGTCACTAATGGCAGACTTGCGAACGTGATTCAGAACCACATTGCAAGAAGTGCAGAAGAGTTTTCCTCCATCTTCGTGCAGCTCACCTCCAAACTCAGTGACTCGATCCAGGGGAGTCACGTACAAAGCAGTCTTAGAACGGTTTCGAGCAGGTGGTGCTGTCACTACAAATCTTTCCATTCTGACTTTGAATAGGGTTCTTTCAAGACAAGAGAAACAGAGTGTTATATCAACACTTCATGAGGGAAGGAATAATAAAACGGTAGGTATAAACATTTTAAGATTAAAGGCTTCAGAAAACTTAATTCCAATTAATAGACTGTATGTCTATTAAGTCTTAACTTACCTGAGATATGTTAAGGGAAGGCAAAACCAGAGCAAGTTACTAGTAACAACTAGGTCCATTCCTTGATTTTGATGAAATTCAAATAAATTCAAAGTATGAAAAAAGTATCCCAGATGTCACTATCCTTTAGAAAAACCTAACTACAGGTCAACATTTATGGTATTAATCTCATCCAATTTAGATATGTGTTAAAGTTTAAAAGAACTTCTTTCCCTTCACAGTTCTGGGGCAACAGATTTTAGGAAAACAACTGCAAGGAACTGTGTACAAAGTTTGTTCAAACAGGTGGGCCACTAAACTGGCATAATTCTATATGAAGTTGAATATAATTTCCAAAATTGTTCTGAGAAGAAAGAAAGTAAAAACCAAGAAAGAACACAGGCCAAATGCAATTAAAAGTAGCAACAATGATGTTAAATTTTAAAGTCAAAATACAGAGCTCAAAGTAAGTCATTTTTTTTTTAATGCATATACACCTCTACTAAGATACCTTTCCAAAAGGTGATGGACAAGTTATGCAAAGTGCCTTATCTAACACTTTTTTTCATTAAAGAATAATATTTACATTTGCTAATATTTATTTCACTTATTTAACTATTAAGTTAGACCAAAACTACAGTATCTTGTACATGACAGATGCTCAATCACAATTTGTATCTGATATGGAATAAGTGATTATCTTCACTATTTTTCCAAATATTTAACTCAGAAGCAGCTTAATAATTTCTCAATTGAACCCCAAAACAAATTTTTGTGATCATTGCCAAAATTGTAAGGTTATGGGCACTGAAAAGTTGAGATAACAGAAGTTGTAAGTGATAACAATTTATTCCCTGAGGCCATGCCATTGGATTAAACTCTTACCTTAACCTAGATATAAGAAATTGAAATGAATTTGATAGAATTCAAGATGGAATTCTGTTCTGTATAAATACATCAGAGAAAAATTCCCAGGTATGCTCTGAAGAACTGTACTTTATAAGTGTAATCAGAAACAATGGAGTATTCCGTTAATCTATGCTACAGAATTCATAGCTGGTTACCGTGAAATCTCTCTCAAAAGAATTTATGTATTAGACACCTGTGGACATAACCCCAGAGAAGAACTCAACATTCCAAAGAAATTTTGGATAGTATGATCAAGTTTAGGTTTTAATAGGTTTAATTCTTTTTTTTCCCATTAAAAATGTGTTTAACGCAAGGCTCTCATGTCAAATACTATTTAGGTTATAGGTTTTCAATGGCAGGTAAGACAATTCCTGCTTACTAAATAGTGAATTACCATTACACATATTTGTACTTTAAGTTAATGGTATGTGTTTTATAATCATACAGCAAGTCAGTCCCAATTATAATTAGTGGTTCTAAGCTATTTATGAAAAACATTACATATTTGTGCCCAGTAATGCTTAAATCATTCTATGTGAAAAGTCTTCTGTCTTTGGATTTCATACTCTAAAACAATTAACATGTTCCTTATTCTTTGAAGCATAAAACGCACGATCACTTGTGCTAATATGAAAGGCCTATACATTCCAAAATCTTTTAAGTTTTAAAGTATATTTGTGTTACTGCAGAGGTAAATATCCACCCAGTAGAGGATGCTCGAGTTTACAGGACCGAAGAACGAAAGTGTTTTCCATAGAAGTAAAGATATTTTAAACGAGGAAGTTGCAAAGTTAAGAGCAGGAACTGGCCAACAAAAGAAGCAAATCATTTACTAGATAAAAATAAAATTCAACATAAGTTTTCAAGTTTAAATGTTTACCAGATTAGTTTCCAGTTTTTTTCGTCTTGATACCTAGAAGCGAAGGGTCTCCAGCGCAAAACCAAAGACGCATGAAATCCTGGCACTTTCAGTTTGTTCAAACCCGGAGATGCCTTCAAATCAGTTTTTCAACAAGTGGTGGTGTGGAAGTAGTTTCTGGGCTTGCACCCTATTTCCCCTGAGGTGCTGGGAAGTCATGCCTTTACTGTAAAACACGAAAAACAAATGGAAAGAAAAAATGGGGGAGGGGGAAGGAAAAAGGGTGGATGAAAAAACGAAAAAGAACGTCCACAACAGCCACGACGCAGGTGTGCTTAAAATCACCCTAAGTCCACACCACAAATTGGAATCCCAACGTTTACTCCAACTCTCCTCATCCCAGTCCCTCCACAGTGGTGCGCCCGGATCTGCACCTCCCCGGGCGCCCAAGCCCCAGGGTTCGGGAGGAGGGAAAGGCGGGGCTCGCGACGCGCCCGGCGTCTAGACTCCCTCCTCCCGCGCGGAGCCCAGCACGCCGGCGCCCCACCGCCCCTGCCCGCTAGCTGGGCAGGGCCGAGTCCCAGCTGCCGGCCGTGGGCCCGGGAACTCGACAGCCGAGTTGGCGGCAGTCTCAAGGGAGGAGGCAGCAGGCGCCTGGCGGAGGCGACCGCTGTCAGGCTTCCCGTCCCCTCCCTCTTCCTACCGCCGACAACAGCGCCCCGGCCCCGCCCCCGGCTCCCGCTTCGGGCCGGAAGGCCCCGGGCCCAAAGCCCGCACCAACGGCCGGGCCCACCCTCGGCCTCCCTAGCTCCTTGGTACCGTAGGATCGGGGCCGCCTTGAGGGGAAATGGACGATACGCGGCCGGAAAGAAAAGGAAGAGGAAGAAAAGGAGGTGCAATGGGGTGAAGGAGGAGGACCAGTCGCCACCGCCGCCACCGCCGTCGCCGTTGCCCGATCGAGCCCCGCAGCGGCCGCCGTGTCCCCCGCCGAGCCCAGTCCTCCTGCGCCGCCTATGGGAGAGCTCGTAGGCGGTACCCAGCAACCGCCGAGCAACATTGACCAATGGACCACGGATCTATCAAACAGACGGCTGATTTGGCCAATAGTAGTGGAAGGGCGGACATGTGCATGATTGGCAGCTAGAGTTCTCCAATGAAAACTGGGGGCGTGGGTGGGCGGAGCCGGAAGTAGAGCCAGCCGAGAGGCCCCTGTCCGGCTGGGGAGGAGGGAAGAGGGAGGGAACTAGAGGAGGAGGAGGAGGTTAGCCGAGGCAGCTACAGCGGCGGGGGCGCAGGGGCTGGTACGCGCTGGGCGGCGAGAGCCTCATGGCGGAGGAAGAGAGCGACCAAGAGGCCGAACGCCTTGGAGAAGAGCTCGTGGCCATTGTGGAGTCCCCGCCAGGCCCTCCCGGGCTTAGAGCTGCGGGCGAAGGCAGAGGCGGCGCTGGCGGCGGCAGCTGCCGTGGCGGCGGCGGCGGCGTCGGGATCAGCAGTCGGGATTACTGCCGACGCTTCTGTCAGGTGAGGCGCCCGTCGGCCGCCAGGACTTGTCAGCCAGGTCCTGGGCCTCCCTGCTTTTCCTGGTCTTCCAGTCCCCGAATTTGGGCTGTGTCCAGCGCTCGCGCCACCAGCCCAACAAGGAGCGTGAGGGTGAAGCTCCCCCCTCCACCTATCCGGCTTGGGGTGGGGGGCGGGGCGCGGGACGGGGATGACCTGCGCAGGTTTAGGGTTGCTGAGAAAGTGAGAGTTTGTCGGGGGTGGAGGGACTGGAGAGGAGGGCCAGCTGGCAGGAAGGCTCTGTACTGACAAGCCTCCCCTGCCCCAAACAGACCCCTTTCTGCCCGAGGGTCCCGCCTTTCTTGTGTTTCCTACCCGGTTTCTTGTCACCTCATTTGGAATCTCTGGGAACATTTCCTGCCTTCCCTTCTCCGCCCCTTGCCCCGGTATTCTCCCCTTTTCCGGAGATGGGAGGCTTGCCATCTCTCTACCGCCCCCTCTTCTGTCATTGCCACCCCTCCCCCTCTGCTAGGGTCTCCTGTCATCTCTTCGCGAGACCCCGCTGGGCCGGTTCTCCAGTTGGTTTAGGCGCTGACCCACAGTGACTTAGTTACTTTTTTGGGAGGTGGGGTTAAGGCAGTGGGATTGTCATCTTTCCTTTTCTTACCCCTTTCCCCGATATACGCAAGCTCTTTTCTAATTAACTGCTAATAGAGAAAGCTTTCCTGAAACTATTGCTCCAGTTACATCACCACCAACCCCCTTCCTTTAAATTATAGTGTATTTTATTTAGCTTGTTAAAAAAAAAAAGAAAAGTGTCTGAATAGTGACAGTAAATTATTTACTTGGTCGACTGCCACTAAAATTTGATGTAGTTTAGAATGTTTGACCATAATCAAATATTAAAGCACCAAAGTACTTGTGTAGGGGTAAAATTTGTGTTATCTACATTCACATCTACATATATTTATAGTTTAAACATTTTGTTCTCTTTCACAACACTCTTACTTTGAAAACTCTTTTGGAAAAAAATTTAACCGCTCCTTTTCCACCCCATTCCTTTATTTGTTTATTATCTTGGCTATATAGCGTTCAAGTCATGGCTCTACGACTTCTAGCTGTGTTACCTTGAACAAATTACTTCACCTCTTTGTGCCTTAGTTTCTTTCCTCTTCTGTCAAATAGGGATAGTAATTAAAGGAATGAATATGTAAAGAGTTTGGATCCTTTACATATTAATTAAAGTAAGCCATTAATTTCATTCCGGTAACAAGTAGGAAATAAAGTTAAGCAGAAGTGGGCATAATGTTTGCTGAAATTTGATTTTATGTATTTCCAAGTATTGAAAGAAAAAGGCTGGGGTTGACATATTCAGGTAAGTTTTTAATACTTTAAATTGTTTTTTGATTTCATCCCCCTTTCCCCCAATAGATAAGTTGGTTTGACAGTGAAAATTGTCTTGGTGTAAAGGGTATGTCAGTTTTCTTTGGCATTGCTCTCTATTTAGTGACTTTATTAAAAAAAAATTTGTTGGTATTGGCATTCAGGATTTAGAGGTTCAGTGTCTTTACAGAGCTTGTCTTCTATGTTTTATATCTAGAAACCATGTTATCAGTAGACTTTGTATCTACAGGAGTTTTAAACTTCTGAAAAATTAGGTTACAGTTGCTCTTTTTAATATAGTCATAGGCAGAAAGTCTTTGTATCTTTTTCTGTATTTTGCTTGTATATCATTAATTAGCAACTTGGCTTTGGTTACATTTAGCTTTGTAAATTTACCTGAACAGATAACCCTTACTTGCTGTAGAATGTGAAATTTAATTTGAGGGCCAGAACATTTTTGGAGAACTCTTAATTACTCTTATTCTGTTTCTTGAAATCAGCTTTAAGAACAGATGAATAAATTTAGTTTGTGAAATGCAGTGTCCGAGTAGTGACAGTAAATTAGTTTAAGAACAAATGAAGTTGACTGTTTTATAAAACTCCACTACCTCCTAAAATATCCAAGGAAGCAAAACTAAGCAGGAAGAACTTAATGAACTTTTATTTTATATTGCTAAATTATGAGTGTTACACTGATATACTTTCATGTTACCAACTTTTACCTGAACCCTTATAACACATTTTATAATACTCTAGATTACCAAACGATCTCTTCTTAGAGTTCTTGTCTGGTTCCACCTTGTAGGTGAGCTTTGTGAAGTCCTTTTTTGTATTAAAACTTAGATGGAATAAAAGATTACCTGTATTAAGTTGAATTTTACCGACTGATTAACAAAATTCTAGTATAGTAATTCTGTTTTATTTGCCAGTAAGGGAAGCAGTAGATTATATAATTTAATTCCTAAAGATTGTTTCTTTTTAAACGTTTGGTTTCCTAATGTTCGCTAAGGGTAACTTGCCTTCATTAGTAAATGACTTGTGAGTAATCCATAAAATGGATAATACGCACTTGGGTTGGTGACAGTTAACTAAATATATGAATTATACACAGAGCCTTGTGAAGTTGAGAAGAAAAGCTCCAATTTATCTTCCTCCTTTTAGAGAGAAATATGAATCAAAATTTCTTGGCAGTTAGTTGTGTGGGTGAAGGGAGAGGAAGGAACACTTCTTTTCGAAAATGGTTCTGTGTCTTTTACCACAGGGAAAAGTAAAAAGGAATTGCATTTTGCTGCTATCTATTTCACTTATAGACAATATAAGTGAAAAATTATGCATGTACTCAGTGCATTTGATGATATACTTTTCTATTTGAGAAACAATACAAGCATAGTAATTAAAAATCTCAAACTAGATGCTTAGGCTACAGCATTTTTGAGATGATGGATTTGGGAGATTGAATGTGTTCATTTCCAGTTACACTGAATAATGTTAGACTAACTGCCCCATCATATCCTCCCTTGGCTCTTATTAGTGGACTCTCAACAATTGCTTAAATTGGCACTTAGCTGATATTTAATTTCAGGATGAAAGGAAGAGGAATGTAATTTTTATTGAGGACCTACTAACTCTTAAGGCCTGCAGATAGGTCTTGTTATGCAAGTTACATAGTTGAAATTGAGGCCTGAACAAGTTAATTTGTCAGGTGAAGAAGCTGGGATTTTGGACCCAGCCTTCAGTTTCTCCTGAACAACAGATTGAAATTACAGATGAATCCTCAAATAATTATAAAGTGATTTTTTTTTCTTTGTCAAGTTGTACAAAGGAGAAAAAAAAGGTTACTGGAAGAACTCAGGGAATCATGGAGGAAAAATTTAAAAAAATGCTCTTTCATTATACCACAGTATAAAAAATATTCCAAGAAACAGTTAATTACTATTTCTCTGACTTGTTAGGGGCTGTAAACATTTCCCCAATTCCTGAAGTTTGTGGTAATTCAACTTAATTTTGTTGCTAGATGTATTGAAATATTTTTTATCATAAATTGTAAATTAAGCAAGTAAAGGTACCTTCTTAGTTCAGTGCCAGAGTGAATATAATGAATGATAAATAATTATTTCTGGAAGCACTTTGATTTGTTGACTAAAATAGATTTTAAAATTATTTTTTATTACAGTGGGGTTAGGTAGCCATCCCACGAGGATGTCAGGAGTATAAAATGAGAGAATGAACATGAAGTGCTCAGTACTATACCTAGCACGTAGATAGGCTTAAATAGATAGAAGCTATTAATATTTCTTTCATGTGAAATCCTCTGCAGGTTTAAGAGGGACATTAGAGGTAACCTAATCTGTAGGTCACTTTGAGTTTGTATACCACAATCAACTTTAGAGAGAATTTAGAAATGTTACAATTCTAAAATTCTGTTATTTACTAGAAAAGCCAAATGTTCCTGATGAAGCACTAAATGATTTGCAAAAACAACTACTTTTTTTTTTCAGATTTGATTTCCTGTAGGGGACATTGGGCAGTGTCGGGAGATATTTTTGATTGTCTTAATTGGGGGGTTGCTGCTGGCATCTAGTGCGTAGAGGCCAGAGATGTTGTTGAACACCCTGCAATGCACAGGGCAGCCCTAACAACAAAGAATTATCTGGTCCAAAATATCAATAGTGCGAAAGTTGAGAAACCCTGCTGTAATCTTACTTTGGAACCCTTAGTGGATACTTTATGTCTTAAAAAAAGTCTTTAATGATCCTCAAATAATTTTAAGCAGCTACTGGGTACCCGGCACTTTAATAGATAAAGAGATAATCTAACAGAAAAAGGGTTCGCTTCATAGTTTTATAGAATACATGCTAATGCCTCTTACTTTACAGAAATTAAAATTTAATTGTTTTAGGAAAATAGAAGCTTTATCTCTTAGTCTTGGTATAAAATTTACATAATATAGTTTCTTGAGCAGTTTCTTAGGGTATAATAATACGTTTTTACTAGTCTTGGAATTAATTGGAATTATTTTTTGATTTGCTGTTACTTTTTATATGTGTTTTACATGTACTTGGTTTAATGAGTCATATAAAACTTAAATATGAGGAATTGCATTTTGCTGCTAGTAGAGACCTGACTTAAACA